TTTAGTTTTTGGTTGAGCTATCAACTTATTATACCCTTGTAATTTTTGGGTTAAATAATCTTGGGTTGGTTCTTTAGTGGTGGTAGATCTGTGATTAAGATTTAAATATGTTTGGATTTTGTGTATATTCCTAATATAGGTTTGTGTGACATGGTTATGAATTTTTTTGTCTTTGTTTAGGCTCTCTGCATACGTTGAGGTTTGTGGTGATATAATCAATGGGCCTTTTGATATTTTTGGTGTAAATGGTGGGTTATGCTCACGGCTTGAAGCCAGATGAAGTGTGACGATGGCACAAGAATTTGAGTGATTGATATGAATGTTGCAACAACATTGAGTTTTCTTGCAATAGGCTTTGATATTTTTTAACTTAGCTCTCTTAAGTCTTTTACACTCTTTCTACTGAATGTTGTTCTCTATTTTTTCCAGCCAAAATAGTCATTACAAGAAGCAACTCCTAATAATGTCTACTTTGCTACCTTATATAATTCATTGAGACATGTAAATTTTTACCAATTTTTGTTATTGTCACTATTATTATTAATTTTTTAAATTAAAGATTATGTGTGAGTCTGTTGGGCCCGTGCTAGCAAGGGTCATGCCCCTCTAGTATATATATATATGCTATGAACTTATTGGATTATGGATGATAAAATATTAAGGAAATTTACGATCAAAAAGCTAGTTTGTAAGTAGCTCATACTTATAATGGCTTCATGAAATATGTTGAGTTTTGATTCGTTAAAGATTAAGCTTTAAAAATAAGTTGTAAGGTAAATGAAAAATAGAAAAAAAAAATGAAAAAAATATTTGAAGCTACTAGAAATTTTCTCCTTTCTTTTTACTTGAATCAAATTTTAGGTTTAGTGTTTTTATTAATAATAATAAATTAAGAAATCAAATGGCCAAAGGCCCCATCTGAAAATAAAAAAAGAGACTAGGTCCAAAGCATGATCTGATCCAAAATAAGAGAAGAAAATTTTCTAATATATACACAAACACAATAGTCCGATCTAGGGGTGTACAAAATCGAACCGAAAATCGAACCAAATCGCAAATCGAGTCAACCCAAAAAAAACCCGACTAGTGGTTTGGTTTGACTTGGTTTGGTTTTGGAAAAAAAACCCGACTATATTTGGATTGGTTTGGTTTGGTTTTAACGAGACCAAACCAACCCGACATTATATATATAATTTTAAATTTATTTTATACATAAAAATATTTACTTTGATATAATTTTTAAATATTTCTTATACTTTTTCATAGTTTTATCTTTTAATATATTATTTCAAGTTTGAAACTTAGAATTATGAATGGGCCAATAAAGATTATAGTCCACAGATGTTGGTAAATTATAATAAAGCTCAAATCAAAATCAAATTAATACTAATGCAAAAAAGAAAATCAATTCAACACTAAGAATGACAATAATATTGAATATTTGTTTTTAGTTTTACATTGGTTTAGACAATTAAAATACATAATCTAATTTTAATTCCTTTAATATTTAGTCATGTAACTAATACTTATTAAATTTAATTTTAGCATGATTTAGTACTTTTAAATTATGATCATTTTCATTATGACTTGTTAATTTGCAATATTTGTTTTTACGCGATTTCATTTATTATTATTTTTGTTGGATATTTTAGTGTTATTAATCATATCATATTGTGTTATATTTTTAAGAAACATCTTAAATAGTTGTATTTTGGTAGGACTAAAGAAATATTTGAAGCACTAGTAAATTATATGTTTGTATGAATACTTTACCGGAAAAACCTGAAACAACCTGAAAAACCGAAAAATCCGATAAAACCCGAGGTTGAAAAATCCGAGTTTTATTGGTTTGGTTTGGTTTATAAATTTAAAAATCCAACACAAATGAACCCCTAGTCCGATCTTTGTTGAGGAATATCCAGTACTTTTTCTATAAAAGCTTAATCCTAGCTTCTTGTAACATAATTATAATGTCTGGCGTAAATTGTTTATACTGTTGTGTTATGAGTTAGATAGATTTTATAAATATTCATATTTGGCATGTGATGATCTTTTTATAGCTAAAGTATATAGTTCCCAACTTTCCCCAAATATCCATAAACATATATTTGGTTCGTTCTTATTTACTTGTCAAATTATTTCCTAAATTATTGAATGTGAGACAATTCAGAATAATCGTGGAATCCAATTATTGAATATCTCAATTATACACAGTTGTTGAGTACAAAACAACAAATTAGTGAGTACATTATGTGCACATCTTAAAAGAATCATGTAAAACTCAGAAGGGTTTTCAAGATTCTGTAGCACACTTGAACTAATAAAGAAACTGGTAGAAAATTTCAAGTATTCAAATGAGAGTCAAAAGTAATAATGTAATGAAAAATAGTAGTAATGGATAAAATCACTAACCCATATTGGATCCACATGTCATTTTGCATATAATGTAAAACACAAAAGGTTGTTCAAGATTCTATAGCACAATTTATGTGATTAAGAAACCAGCAGAAAATATGAAGTTAAAGAGAAAGAAGGAGCATCAGTGATGATTGAAAAAAAGAGAGCAGAAATGGCAGCCTGGTACACTTAGCTCCCTCTATGAGCAGGGTATGAGAAAGGGCCAGACCACAGTGGGTCATAATACATAGATTTACGTTGCATCTCCGCAAGAGGCTGATCGTGACTTAAAGCCATGATCTCTTGATCACAAGACATCGACTTTTATCATTGTTCATCGTTTTCTCTTAATAAATCATGCAAAACTTTGTTATTAAAAAGTCATTCACGTTTCTGGGGAAGGGCCAGACCACACATTCAAGAAGTGAAGTAAATATTAGCGGAAAAGAATATCCTTTCAAACAAGACTCTTGAGACTGAAGATCTACCACTTTCACAGACACTCCTCCTTCCACCATCAAGTTTGGTGCATGATCATGACTGGGTAACAAAAGCACATCTAATCTTGTTAGCACATAAAAGATGGTGTACATGGAATTTTAAACCAGCATAATGTGATTTATCTAAATGCAGGACTTACGAATTGTAGCTTGGAATATAGGTACAAATACTTTTTCCTACGATTAGCTGAAATCCATTGTCAACCAATTAGAAAATGATCTCAGATCTCAAGTACGAATGAAACTAAATAAACAAGAGGAAAATAACTTTCTTCATGGTTGGATATTGTAAGAGCTTGATGCTATGAAATGAAGAGCTAACGGCAAAGTATACTTTCTTCAGTTTTCTGAACGAGTAAAGAGTATCCATTTCAACAACTCGCAAAAGGAAGTTATGAGTTCAAAATTACAAAATGTACAAAGAAGTAGGTCCCTTTTCAAAGACTAAGGAGCTACCAAATTCACAAAAACATTTATGTCATGAACACATTTTAAGGTGCACCAAAAAGCAGAACTATTAACTAAAGAGTTTGAAGCTACACACAGAATTCTTGATTCCTTAAAAGAAAATTTGGCTTCTCTTCTGTATAACCCAACAACAAACCCAGTGTAATCCCACAAGTGAGGTATGGGGAGATAGAGTGTTTGCAAATCTCTTGCATATTTGATCCATCACATTCCCAGATTTGTCTAACCTTTTCTTCCATTTCCCCTCTAATTTGGTTCTTGCAGACAAATGATATACGCATTCCACCCCTCCATCACACTCTTAACCAGCCTTCAGATCCTTTCTAAAAAAAAAAGATAATATTTCATACCACACTTGTGCTTCTTCTCAATGTAGGTCCCTTTTTAAGGGGTAGGGAGCCATGAATCCAAGAAAACATTTAAATCATATTTGTTTTTTTGAGCTGCACCAGAAACCCGAAACTGTAAACTAAAGTATTGCAAGCTATGCAGGGAAATTTTAATTCCTTCAAAGAATCTTGGGCTTCTTAACCAACATAATGCATAGAGAGAATATTTCAGACCACACTTGTGCTTTTTTTCGATTTCCTCCTTTCTAAAAGAATAGCAAAACTCAATAACTAGACCAATTTTTTTTTCCAGATGCAAAGGGAACAGAGAATTATATGATGTTATTGAACATCATTGAAATAAAAGCATAATGGTACCATTGATTATATCACTCAAATATGAAGTCCGCGCATAATGATACCCATATGTTTATGTTTGGATCCCTCTGAAAAATTGAATAACTATCTCAAATCTTCAGATTAACGAACTGAAAAGACAACGATCTGACATAATATAAGGTAGGAAAAGCCGAAAAGCATAATCATGAAACAGTTAAATCATATTCCTCACATTAGTAAATCTATTGGTAAGGATTGATAGAACGACTAATGCGTGAAAAGAATAATCGATCTTGGATCATGTAAGATTCAAAAGGGTATTCAAGATTCTGTAGTACATTTGAACCAAGAAAGAAACCGGCAGAAAGTTTCAAGTATTCAAATGGGAGTAAAAAGTAATGATGTAATGAAAAATAGTTGTAATAGATAAAATCACTAACCCATACTTGGATCCACATGTCATTGTGCATATCATGTAAAACACAAAAGGCTATTCAAGATTATGTATCATAATTTATGTAATCAAGAAACCAGCAAAAAATATGAAGTTAAAAAGCAAAAGGGAGCAGCAATGATGATTGGATAAAAAAAGCAGAAACAAACAGCAATACTGACAACTGTAGTGCATCTTATAAGTGGCAGCATGGCACACTAATCTCCCTCTATGAGCGAGGTTTGAGAAAGGACCAAACCACAGTGGGTCATAAAACAGATTTACGTTGCATGTCTGCAAGAGGCTGGTCACGACTTAAAGCCATGACTGATCACATCACACCGACTTTTATCACTATTCCACTTCCCTTCTCATAGTGCATCACACTCTCTTAATAAATCATGCAAAAGTTTGTTACTAAAAAGACATTCAAGATTCTGAGGAAGGGTCAGACCACACATTCTTCAAGATTCAAAGGAAGGGTCAGACCACACATTCAAGAGTCGAAGTAAATATCAGCAGTGGACTATCATAGTGCATAATTTAATAGAATGAAATTATGTAAAACTTGACAAAATTGAAGTGGTAAAAAATTAGAAGAGTAAATGGAATGATGCAAGAAGAAATTAAAAGAAAAGAAATACTAGCAGGGAGTAGTAGTACTGGATTGAAGAGTATGTTTAGCATTTTTTACGGTGAGTTCAATGAGAATTACTTGGTTTCCAAATTGAATTGATATTTGATGATACCAAAAGAACAAAGAGAAAATACATCAAACCCCTCTTAAACTTGTCCGTAAAACTCACTTTAGAATCATAACTTTACTGATGTTTAAATACCCCCTTAAACAACTTTCAAGTGAATAAAATACCACCTTACACATACAATACCAATTTCATAATTGGAAGGTGATGTACACACGCGCCACATAAGCGCCACCTCAATGACACATTGATAACACATCAGATTGTGAACAAATTTAATTTCATTTCTTTTTTCTTTTCCATGTCATTTTTTGTTCTCATTTTCACTGTTCACTCATCTTCTTCATTGTTCCATGCTCTTCATTATTTCAAGGGAAAAGGGCCTGATATACCCCTCAACTTTGTCATTTGGAGCTAATATGCCCCTTGTTATGAAAGTGGCTCATATATACCCTTACCGTTATACAAACGGCTCACATATACCCCTACCATTATAAAATGAGCTCACATATACCCTTCATTTAACGGAAGTGAAAAAATTAGTTTTAAATTTATATTTTTGACTTTTAATTTTCTTAAAAATTATTTAGGGGTATATGATTCTACTAGCAAAGTTCAAGGTATATTTTAATCTTTTTTCATTACATTAATTTTTTTTGACTTTTTGATTATAATTATTTGAGTTTCTTATTCTTATTTTATTTTTTCTTTCATTTCGTAGTGTAAAGAAAAAATTTAAAACTATTTTTTGTGGCTATATTATAATTTAAAACTATTTTTTTTGTCTATATTGTAATTTAATTTTTGTATTTGAAGAAACAAATTTGGTCATCTATAATAAGTTTTACAAGAATATTAGTGAAACATAAATAAATTTGACCATCAAAATAATAAATCTAAATTAGTCATTGAAACAAAAAAAAGTAAAAAAAATATGTTTGAGGAGAATTAAATATACTCATATGGGATTATATCTTTTTTCTATAAAAAATAATAAAAATTAATCTAAAATTAATTCTTTTCATTTCCGTTAGAGGAAAGGGGTATATGTGAGCCATTTGTGTATAAGTAGGGGTATATATAAGCCACTTTTATAACGAGGGGTATATCAGCTCTAAATGACAAAGTTAAGAGGTATATCAGACCCTTTTCCCTTATTTCAATAATCAATACAATACAAAAGTAATTGTTACCCTTTGCAAAAATCCAACACCCACAACGTAATTTCTAATAATTTAACAAACATTGTGTGAAACAGTGAAAATGACTATACACCGACAAGTACTGCAACGACAACATTAGAAAATTATCATCATCGTTGGAGCTGGGTTTGTTGGTGCTACTCTTTCTCATACTCTTGGGAATGTTTCTTTTCAATTTCAGTTTTTGTTGTTTAACTTACTATTTCCCCATATTTTTATTTGCAAGTTCTTTGAAAGTTAAATCTTAAAAACCATGTTTGTTCTAAGGACAACCAACAATTGCTTCAATGACAATCGTCGGAGTTATTGTTGTTATATTAGGCTCAAAATCGGCAGACCTGATGGTGGCTCTCTTGAAGAATGGAAGAAAGCCAGGAAAAGGGTATGGCCGAAGTTTTGTCCATGGTTGCCGGCGTGGTGAAATTTCTTAGTGAGATTTGGCGGTCTCACAGCGGCTGATCTCTCGCAAGAGCTGTCAATGTTGGCCCACCCCATTCGGGATAATCCATACAGGCTTTGCAATTTGATGGGCTAGCGGACCAAAAAATGGTTGGCCCAGGCTTTGTCGGGTCAACTCTTTTTTTTTTTAAAGTATATTTTTTTATGATTTTTTAAATTAAATTATAATTTAAAAATATTATCATAAATATTGACTAGTGTTACTACTTGTTAATCAAATACACAAATAAAATTATCTATATAATATTTATTAAGTTTGATTTCAAATAAAACATAAATAGCTAAATAGAAATATTAACCTAATTATTTTCCAATGATCGTAATAAAACACAAAAACTATGATAATTTGTCGGAACTTTATTTTATGTAGTACATATTTTATAAACATAAGTTGTATTTAAATTGTAATATTTCAAACTTTAAACATATTTTGAGTGTAGACTCTTGTTATTTTTAATACTCTATTTTATTTTTATTTTTTAATTAATTTTTATTTGGCCCACGGGACGGCCCTATCCATATTTCTCAAGCCCCACAAATTGACAGGCTTATTCAGGCTGGGCTAAAAAGTTTTTTTCTCAAATGGGCTCCAAAAATTGTAGCCCAGCCCTATCAAATCACGGGTTAGGCCAGGCCGGCCCAACGGGCCTAGCCCATATTGACGGCTCAACATTTGTGTATATACTACCATTAAACATTTTGTGGATTGATGACGGGCGAACATGAACGAAAAGTAAGTAAGACCTAACAGTTAAATCAAACAAAAATAAATACAAGAGACATACATATACAAAAGAAATAAATAATTCCATGAAGAAATTGTTGTTGATTGACGGCTCTAGCTTTTAACGGTGATGAACGAGGAACAAAGGGGATGGGGTGAGGTTTGGCGTGGTTGAGTTTTGTTGAATTTGTTGATACGAGAATATTTTTCGAAGGTGACCGCCGGCGATGGAAACAAAGAGAGCTAGTAAAACATTTTGAGAGAAAAGAAGAGATGGTACAGGTTGCTGAAAGAAGACAAAGTGGGACCCACTTATCTTCCCTTTACATTTTTATGCTATTTACGCGCTTAGAAATTTTGCCACGTCAGTCTCTAAAGTGATATTTAATTCACTTGTAAGTTGTTTAAGGGGGTATTTAAATACACGTTACATTGCTAAAGTAAGTTTTGGAGACAAGTTTGAAGGGGATTTTATGAATTTTCTCAAGAACAAATAATGCGCAATCAATATACAACAAAATGACAGAAAATATCAAACACATTCTCCAACATGTTAACTAGGACATGTAAAGTTCCTTCTTCACAATATAATACCAAAAATTGTCTTAAAAGATAAAAATTAAATATGTTGACGTTTACAATTAGGCTCCTCCAATATGTTGTTGTGGGGATGCTTACGGCAGTTGGAAAGGGATGAATAATGCAAAGGATAATCAGCTCTACAAGTTGGACATGTGTTATTCATTGATAGTCATTTTATCAAATAGTGAATATGAAATTCGTGCAAACAATTAGTTGTTATCACCTTATTCTCGTCTTTAAAATCTTCATAGAAAACAGGGTAAGTGTCATCCATTAAATCTTTGATATAGTTCTTCAATACGGGAGTTGGAGATGGAGAGGCGCGATGGAGAGCGTTTAATTTCCTTAAGTCCTTTTGGTAAATCTTCTGCAATAGGTGATTTGGCTGGAAAAATTCCACCTTCACTAGTATATTCCCTTAACGCATACATATACTCCAGCACATCACCCAAGTACTTATGATATGGATCATTGATGTAATCAGTGGTAGAGAGACTGTGGGCGGCAGTGTGAAGCTCCTCTTCATCATCCAAGTCCTTTTCAAACCTAGAGAAAGAGGGGATAGGGGGAAAAGGTGGTACAGATGGAACAGAACAATATGAGGAATAATCGATGAGATCAAATTGGGAGATTTCAAGGGCAATCACGTAGGGAGGTCGTGGTTGAGAAAACTGACGAAATTTGGTGAAAAGCTCAGAATTGATTTCATTAGATATTTGTATGATGTCTTTGGGAGTAAATTGAAGAGTAGCAGATAGAATCATGGAAAATAAGGATGGATCCTTGTTCAGTAGCTTTGATATATCTAACCACTCTCAAGGCTGCATTCCAGTTAGATAGTTTTGGTTTCTACATAAACTGACTTAGGCATTGGACTGAGAAAGCTATATCAGGTCGAGTGTTGGTGTGATAGAGCAGCTTCCCAATCATTCTTTGGTATATGCCTATGTCTACAAATAACTTATCATCAATGGCATCAAACTCTACACTTGTGAGTTTTATATTACACTTTAATGGTGTTGAAGAAGTTTAGCTCCAACTAGCCCTGCATCACTAATTAACTCTAATGCATATTTCCTCTTGTTCATAACAATTCCTTTGGTTGATCTGCAAAACTCTATCCCTAGGAAATACTTCAGCTCACCCAAATCCTTAATCTTGAAATGGTGATGTAGAACTTGCTTAGTCTCCTGTATCAGCTTATAGTCATTCCGTGTGATCAATAGATCATCGACATAAACTAGCACAATCACCAGTGCTGAGCCTCTCATTTTAGTGAATAGAGAATGATCCAGTGGACTCTACAAGTATCCTTAGTTGGTTAGTGCATCAATAAGCTTGTCATTCCATTGCCTGGAAGCCTGATAGGGACCTAATAAGTCTGCAAACTTGGTGTTCCCCCTATCTAGTAAAACCTTTGGGCAATTCCATGTACACTTCTTCAATTAAATCTCCATGTAAGAAAGCATTAAAGACATCCATCTGGTATATTATCCAATTTTCAGCTGCAACAATAGTAATAATAAATCTCACAGTTACCATTTCGACTACAGGAGAGAAAGTCTCATGATAGCCAATTCCTTCAGTTTGGCTATAGCCTTTAGCTACAAGCCTAGCCTTGAACCTGTCAACCTATCCATCTGCTTTATACTTGATCTTGAACACCCACCTACAACCTATAGCCTTTTTACTTGGTGGCAGTTGCATGACAGTCCAAGTCCCATTATCTTTCAATGCACTAATTTCTTGTTTCATGGCCTCCACCCATCTATGGTCTTTAACAACCTCTTAAGAGGTTCGAGGTTCTTTGTCAGCAGATAAATCACTTAAATAAGCTTGATATGTAGAAGACAATTTATCATAAGTCATGTAGTTAGCCAGTGAATATGGATGTGGGGAATCAGTCATATGAGCAACACAATCCTTCATCCAAACAGGTGGATGAGACACTCTGGTAAAAGTTATGTGTGTTGCAACATTCTGAATACCTAGTTCACCATTGTCCATAGCTAAAACATCAACACATGTGTTCTCTGGAACCACTAATGGAACATGTTCAAAGTTTGGTAGCTGAGCTGCATGGTCGACATCATTGTTAGGATTATGAGAATCAGTAAACTCAAGTGTGGCATTAAACATATCATCATCATCAACCAGTCTGTCTTGTTCCTTGAAAGTGACATCCCTGCCCACTATAAACTTCTTGAGGCTCAAATTGTATATCACATACCCTTTCTGAGTAGATGAATATCCCATCATGACACAAACATCAGCTCTAGGGTCAAACTTATCATCATTGATTAGCTTAGTGGCATAGCACAAACAGCCTATTGTTCTCAAATGGTCAAGCTTGGGTCTGGTTTTGTGAAAATTTTGATAAGGAGACTGCCCTTTTAAAACATCAGTAGGCATCATGTTTATCACGTACACAGCAGCTATAACACATTTCCCCCAATTAATGGCAGAAAATTTATATATGTATCAAAGAACCCAAGATATGTTATATCTAGAGTACATCATAAATAATATTAAAGAAATATTCAGATTAAAACAACTATCAGAAGAATACTATAATAAATATTATTATATATTACCTTAATTAGGAAACGTAATGGACCACCCCCCCCCCCAACTTGGTATCAGAGCTAAGTAATATTAAAGACATGGATAATAAAGAAAGCCATAAATATGAACTCATAAGAACAGTAATATCACAACGACAAGAATTAAAATATAGACAAGAAAGATTACAATATAATATATATGCAGGAGTATGTGAAAAATCTATACTAGCTCAAAGGAAGACAATCTTTAAATTACAACATGAAATACAGAGAATAGAGTATAAATTAAAACATAATTTAAGATGAATAAAGAAGAATTTGCTATAGAAGAAAAAACTTA